GACCAATGTATTCCAGGCCTCAGATTCCAGCGATGCCGTGGTAAACCCCAAGCCAAATGTGCTTGTTGGTGATGAGGACGTTCGATGACCCTTCGAGGAGTTGCACCCGGGTCTCTGATTCCGGACAGTACTCGCAGGGACCAGGCTATGGTAACCACTGGTGCTTCAGAACATGGCTTGTGGCGAATGGTTGTCATAGAGTAAGCCTCAGTAGTGCCTAGTCTTCACGATCTGATTTCACCCTGAGTCGTCCATAATGTGGGCGATCCTTCCCTCATTGGTTTCACTGTAATTTTCTGACGAAGCCACTGACAGCTGTGTTGTTGGTATTCATTGTCCGACCGATTGCTTTAGAGGACATACCGGAGTTATGTATACCAATAATTTGTCATTTCTGGGCACCCGATACTCTTCTTCGTATCGTAGTGTTGAATATCAACATGGGGCACGTACACAAACTGCACTTGTGAAAGTTCGTGGGTTAGCTTCTGGACATGCCCCACAGGGTGTGCTTGGGAGACGCTTTCCACCAGAACCACTTGTAATAATTTCTTAATATATTTAGCATATGTGTCATCATAAACAAGCTGAACTTAAAAGTCACATGCAACGTAAAACACAACTTTGCAGATTCTGATACCTTTCGGTATGGACTTACCGAAACAAATCGTCAAAAATGCAAATTCAACTTATAAAGTTAAAAAAATAACGCGATGAAAAAAACCGCGCGAAATCGGAGTTTAAACGTTTCACTAATTTTCCCCAGACTTTTCTGGGGAAAACGGGTTTCAACAGCTGGGTTGCGCTCATAGCACATGCGCAGTGAAATAGGTTCGCGCAGCTTGGAAGCGGGTTGTCCGGTGAATACTCGGTGAAGGCTTTGGTGTGAGCTATTTTTCTAATGTTTTGTTGATATCTCACAGGCGCGAGCTTTTTATATGTTATGACAGTAAATTAACTGTTTATATAATTTCATTTGTCTATTTCACCACACGTTCTTCTTACCGAGTCACTTTCTCAGTTCGATACTTAAAAGCAATGTCATTATTTAGCGTTGTACAGAATTTCTAACTGTGATATAGATATGTCGTTGTCACAGACAAAACTCAATGTCTTGTTTTATTTACACCTGTGTGTCTGCCTGCCTGTCTGACAATATTCAATACACAGCTGCTATCAATGACCACATGCAATTTGAACTTAACACCAATCAGGCTATACACCATAAACAAAATGCATTGATTTATGGCCCGAGTTCGGTCTCTGTCACATTATGTAATTACACAGACAGGCAGGTGTGATACTTGAACACATGACATGTTATGATGTCTGTTGATTGCAAAATGTTATACACAAAAAAATGAGCATGTATTTACAAAACCCAACACACACAATGAGCCGTGAAGGCATCTGCAAATGAACCAGCCGTTACACTTGAGTGCACACCCACCCGCTCTGACTGGGTTCGGTATCCCGGCTGCTTCGTTTCTTGGGAAGTAAACCGAAGTACACAATTTTGCACTTTTGATTTGCGATTGTACGCTTATAAACATAGTTCTTTTAGTGGTCAACATATTTAGGGGTGCTTAACTATTTCCAGATGTATATATAGCTGAATAGGTCACTATGACATCATCAAATCTAAGTTTAAAAGACGTTTTTCATCACAGTTGACATTATGATTGTTTGTATTTCTATTCATGTTATTGCTTGTGTGGCATTCATGAAAAATAAATTAACATCTCTCAACACGTATTCAGTACGTAACGAATGACCACACTAAGAAGTATCTTTTGCACTTTTCTGGTGTAGGTGTTGTCACATAATATTAAAATATTGTGTTATTATTACCAACGGTTCAATTACAAAGTAGGTTTGTCACGAATCACAAATACAGTGTCATACTTTGTATAAAATGTCCTAGCCCCTCCCGATTTGTGACGGATAATAACTGGATATTAGCTGAGAGCTTTCCGAAATTGTTGGGAAAGTTCGTAGTAACGGAATACATACTATGCCTACTTTTGATATGGCACTACGATGGCAGACATCGCAATAGCTGAAATACCTTTGCATACCAGGAACTTCAGTGTTATCTGAGAGAGTATTTGCAACCTCAGGACACATTGTCGAAACACACAGGGCATACCTCTGTCTCTGAAAGGCTGTCACATGGACACACTTGTGTTCTTAAAGAAGAATTAAAAAACTCCAAGTTTAATGTTAAAACCACAACAGTTGTTTTTGTTTCTTATCACATCAGTTCGTCAGTGAACGTTGTACTGTTAAAGCATTTTATGGGCACTTCTTTCGACACAAAGAAATACGGAGTGACTCGTGTGAAATACATCAATACTGTGGGAGTCCTTCTATAAAATTCATTTTTGAACGTTCAGATAATCGTCAAGATATGGCATTTTTCAGAGATTATGAGAGGGGTGCAGATGAAACCATTACTTTCAGCTTTGTAACGAATAAACCAAAAGACACTGAAGTTTCAGTTTTGTAGACTGTGTTTGAATGATTCGTTCTAAATTCATGTACATTTCGTAACATAAGCTGATGTACTTTAATCCTGAAATATAGCCCTTGACCTACATTTCCAGGACGTTCAGCAGGAAGTGCAAACAACTGAGCTGCAGTTATAATACTTTCTCCATTATTAATCTTAATTTAGGCTTCATTAGTTGTTGATCAGTGAATCTCCATTACGTAAATGGATCGTCAATAGTTTCCAAAAGATCTTCAATAGTTTTTTAAATCATGCAATATTTTGCAACTTATTGACCGACTACTTTTGTTGAAGGATTTATCGGGGCCCTTGTGAATCTGCTCGCTTCATGCAAAATAATCCATTAAACGGGGGTTCAAGTACAAGTATCTGCACTGTTTTGGACAATATTGCATTTGCAGAAGGTAGTCGATTAAGACAATGTGTGAGTATTGAAGTTTTGAGAGGTGGAATGCCCACGAGTATGAAAAACACAACGAGGTTCTTTCAGTTTTTATTCTATTCCGTCACTACAACCAGATGTTTACATTTGGAATGTGACTTTAGCTCCACTCCTGTCCACGGTGAAACTAATAGGCTCGTTCGAGACGTCGCCAAAGGTACTTTCCGTTCGTGAATGATGTCGAGGACGCCACAAAGAATGTCGGTGCGAGAGAATAGGTGTCTAAATTATTATCTTACACTGCACGACATCTTCGACAACCTTTAGCATTTCTTTGCCTTTTTCTTTTGCATCTGAAACATTCATTTGATAAACGTTTAATCTATGGGGACGAGAAGTACATTCGTTCTTGTTAAACATCCTCCTGGCTATTCTTGAGCGTTTATCTATCCTTCTAAAGCATCAAGATAGTAGTTATTTCTCAGTTATTTTGTTCAAATGCAATGACAGCGAGGCTGAGTCAGCACAAATATACAAAATGTTTGATTGTGGCTAATGTACTGGTTACCTGAGTGACATGTACTTCTCGTGAAGTCAGACTGGACATCTGAGACATTTTCTGTGTAGGATCCATCTGTCACATACTTCCTGGGGATAGACTTTTGTTTTACTCCACCGTTGTTGGTCTTAGTCACACTTTCTAAATGCTTCAAATGCTTCGCATCATTTTCCATAACGGTTTCAAAATTACCAAATTCTCAGGACCAGAAACAGATGCCATTTAGGTTGAACACTGTGTCCAGCAGGTTTTGCGGTGTGTCTTCTCCAAGGATCCCCATTTTCCATAGCATTTCCTCCTGACTTCACGTCAACACATCAGTTTCCGCTTCTGAATCCCAGGGCCTCTTCGCGTATGGGATTTCATTTTTGCGTCAAAAATTCGGCGAATAGCCGCAAATTCATAATCGCTAAACATGTTTATGTCTTTGCCGTTTTTTTTTAGAAAGTACTGAATGAGATCAACATTTCATTGATGGTGTTCCCATGATACTCCTCCCCTTTCTGATTCTTTACTTCCGTTATAAAGGACTGACTGACTGACTGAGTTTAGTTTTACGCCGCTTTTAGCAATATTCCAGCAATATCACGGCGGGGGACACCAGAAATGGGCTTAAGACATTGTGCCCATGTGGGGAATCGAACCCAGGTCTTCGGCATGACGAGCCAACGCTTTAACCACTAGGCTACCCCACCGCCCCCCGTTATAAAGGAAACCAGATGTCGACATAACTCGTCATCACTGAGATTCAGGATACACTGTCCCAGACCACCACTGACACCTTTCCTTTCCAGATACCATGAATCAAAAACCCGTACAGCCCAGTGACCTTTCTTTTCCGTATGTATTTTTAGCCAACATTTCCAAATTGGAGATCTCCTCGACAGTTAGAGGCGTGCCGAATCGGGACTCAGATTCTTTTTTGAAGACCTTTTTAAGAAGATGTTCTCGCGGTTGTTTTCAATGGTTTGTGTTGTCACGTACTAGTTTTTCATCAGAAGAGATATTTTGCTCAAGGGCATCTTCCACTGACACAACAAAGTTCATGTTAGACATGTCCCCTTTAGGAAGACGTTCAAAGTCTCAATTAATATCACTTTCCGTTAATACATCTTGCGAAAACGTACTTTGCGTCAAAATCATCATCACTCTCATCACTAATTGTTTGATTGGCATTCTAGAAGTTGGTGACTCAAAAATCAAACATACAACTTTATGGATGACAACTTCTTATTCATTGCATAGAGCGACGTTTCGATGTAGATTCTTACATCGCTATCAAGCTAAAAGGTTTTAGCTTGATAACGATGTAAGAATCTACATCCATAAAGTTGTAAGTTTCACTCTCATGACTCATTGCTACCTTCGTACCTTTATTCATGCAATCACTCGTGAGTATGGATGAAAAGCATGGTTTGTGTAATACAATAGCATCAATAGGAATTTACACGTCCATAGTTCGAAGTGTGCAACAATATGCATGTAATTTTACTGCGCCTATTTTACTGAAATCAGTTACGATATTCCGAATGGCGAAACTGGTTAAGGACCGTTCTCACGGTACGACTTGTAGTAACTACTTGTAGAATCGACACGAGTTGCAATGTGAGAACACCCAAGTCGTATTAACTTTCACAAGCTCTCAACCTGTCGAAAGCGAGTTGAGAGAAATAGAAACTTCCCTATTTCATGCAACTCATTTAAATACGATTTTTAAATCTACGTGCCGATACTACAGGTTGTTACTACAAGTCGCAACGTGAGAACGGGCCTTTATGAATATCAGTAGAATAGACTCCTCAGTTCACAAAACTACAACCCGTACGATTAAGTTTTAAATTTCTAAATTAGCATACAAATCCAAACTAGTGACAATAACTGTTTCTCCATAAACTGAGAAGGATCTGTTGGAATTCCATATGTAAGTTATTGTAATTAGTGCTGTAAGAAAAGGAAGTCTGTTTGTTGTTTAACGCTATCCAAAATATTCAATATGACGGTAGACAATCTGTAAATAGTCAAATCTGGATCAGACTATCCTGTGATTGACGACATGAGCGTTGATCGGGTTAAATGTACAACATACATGCTTAAAAATATATATAGAAACGCATAGGTGATATTAAGGATATTGGACTCATGTAGCTGCAGCAAAAGCAATACAAATTGTGATATACTATTTCTTTCCGGAACGTCATCTGTTTGTGATTGTAAACAGCTTCAATGCCAAAACGCTGCAATTTTTACTTTTCCTCTTGTTTTAGAAACGTTTGAAGAAATATTCTCCAAAACGCCACCAAGAACACATACAAAGCAAAATGCACGTGTAAGTAAGTGGAAAAGCTATTGATCAATATAAAAAAAGCAAACGTTATGTTCAATTTGTCATTCGTTTTTGCCTGGAAAAGGGAAAATTGTCATGCCAGGACTGAGTGCCGCCAATTGCAACATCGCCATAAACCGCCTTGAATATGAGGAGTTGCAGTCTGCAGTTGCCCGACATTTCAACGTTCACCAGAGCACCATATACGCATGTAATAGTAAATTCTTCAGAAATAGTATTGGTTTGAATTTTCTAAAGGATGGTCGTGTGCTCTTGAAATGTAAATCTCTAAGCTTGTTCTTACTCATGTATGCTGATGATCTTGTGATATTATCCGAGACAGCTGAGGGTCTCCAAGGGTTACTATATTCTTTATCTTCATATTCCGAATGTTGGAGTTTTGAAGTTCATATAAAGAAAACGAAAATAGTTTTGTTTAGAAATGGTGGTCGTATAAGGAGGTCTGAAAGGTGGTCGTATAATGGTGTATCTGTTCATGTTGTTGATAGTTTCACTTTAATTTTAATAATAGGTTTAGTGTTGCTGAAAAACAGCTGTCCGATCAGGGGCGGAAGGTGGCGTTTAATGTAAATTCTAATACTAGATCCCTTCATTTGAATCATGAATGTTTATTGTCATTATTTGATAGTCATATTGGAAGTGTAGTGTGTTATGCCTCGGCTGTGGGGGGCTTTCATAAGGGAGGCAACTGTGAGCGGTTACATCCCGATTATTGTAAACGTTTGTTGGGTGTTAAAAACTGTCCTTGTAGTGCTATGCTTCATGTTGAACTTGGTCGAATTCCTTTAAAATGTGCAAGAATGTTTAATATCATCAAATATTGGAGTAAGTTGATAATTGCATTTCACGTGGTTGCTATGAATATGTTTATGATAATGTTGCAAGGTGTAATGTGCAGAATTGGGTATTTCAAGTTAAAGTATCGGGTTTGGAGACAGTAGGTATGCTCATGAACTTCATTCTAGTTTCTTACAAGTTATCAAACAAGGAATCTTTGATCATGTTTGTCAGTATGTTAGAAGTCAATTGTCTTTATTATCTAAATAATCTAAAAATCTCATAGATAGCAACAGTTGACAATTTTACCTCCGCAAATGTATACCGGTACCTCCTCTTTACAAAAGATATATAACTAAATTTAGATTATCGTCACGTAAATTATCAGTAGAAACAGGTAGATATTATAATGTAAATATGAATTAAAGATTATGTTAAGTTTGTATTGCAGATCTTGAGGACACATTTCATTTTATCTTTAAATTTTCTAAATATAATGAAATAAGACATAAAAGATTAAACAATATTACTGGAAATATCCTTCTGTTTATAAATTTGTACAATTATTTAATATTCAAAATACTGCACAATTATGTAACCTGTGTCAATATCTTGTTAACGCCCTTAGATGAGAAATACCTAATTTATATGTAATTTATATTGTGTACATTCTCCTGCCCGGCATAACATCCTGTCACATGTTTAATAATACATATCAATTAAATTTAATATCTAGCCTTTGGGATCGTTTCCTTGCACACCAGTTGCACCCAAGATCGTCCGAGGAGTGGCCGTCCAAGAGTTACCACCCAAGCCCAGGACCGGTACATCGGGGTTGCTCACTAAAGTCTTGCGTCATCATCTTGCCACAGCCGTGGAGACTGCACAACCCATCACTGGGTTGAGAATAATTTCCCGCCAAAATGTCAGGAATCGATTGCGTGGAGTGGGGATTTGACCAAGAAGGGCAGTTGTCGCCTCTGTTCTGGGAGACTTCCATCGGCGCAATTGTTTGCGGTGGTGTCGTAGAGTCCGGAAGTGGAACCTTAGTAACTGGAGGCAAGTGTGGTTTAGTGATTAATCATGATTTCTTCTTCACCGACGAGATGGAAGACAGCGTCTTTACCGTAGGAGATATAAACACTTTGCTCAGATTCGGTGGAGAAAGTGTCATGGTGTGGGATGTGATATCCAGCACACAGATATCTGTGTTAGTAATGGTTCAGGGGAATTTGACAGCAAATCGGTACATCAAGGAAGTCATTGCACATCACATGCTTCCGATCACAACAGAGGGAGTTGATCCAGCATGACAACACTACTTCACGTGCAGCACTCGTCACGGTCCGCTTCCTTGCCATTTCTCACGTAAAAGACTTGCCACGGCCCGATCACCAGATCTAAACCCGATAGAAAACCTATGGGATGAACACGATCGACGTGTAGGTCAACGTCAAAACACACCTCACACGCTTCCACAACTGGCCGTCGCATTGCGGGAAGAGTGGGGAAGAATTCCACAAGAGCGGCTTCGTCGACTTATCCAGTCTATGCCGTGCCAGTGCCGAGCAGTAATTTCTGCCAGCGGTGGCCATACAAAGTGAGTGAGTGAGTGAGTGAGTGAGTTTAGTTTTACACCGCACTCAGCAATATTCCAGCTATATGGCGGCGGTCTGTAAATAATCGAGTCTGGACCAGACAATCCAGCAATCAACAGCATGAGCATCGATCTGCACAATTGGGAACCGATGACATAATTATGTCAACCAAGTCAGCGAGCCTGACCTCACGATCCCGTTAGTCGCCTCTTACGACAAGCATGGGTTACTGAAGGCACATTCTAATCCGGACCTTCAAGGGTCCATACAAAGTACTAACCTTGACGCCATCGTGTGACTCAAGACAGAAAGACAACAATAAAGGCTGCTGTTGTGTTGGGAACTCTTTGTCTATAGACGCGTGAACTTTCACATTTTTATCATTGATGTTACATGAAACAATTGCTCTTAAAATAATGCAATACATTCTTCTAAAACTGGCTCATGGGTTTTTCTATTTTAAGTGTTTATGTCCAAATTGAACCCCACTCCCCAATGCCGTTAGTCGACTCTTGAGACTGAACTGAACTTTATTCACTCAGGCTGCAAACTGCAGCATAAGAGGTACATAAATAATATTTACATTTATACAACATAAAAAGTATATACAAACGGTATGATAGGTGCAATGTACATCGAGCTAGTTACATATTAAGTTATTGAAATTATTTCTTAAATAAAGCCATAATCATTTTACAAAAAACTGAACGTTCCTAGTTTCTTAAAGTTCCTAGTTTCTTGGTGTTAAATAGGATATTCATTTTATACATATTTGGTCTAATGTAATACTTCTGGATATATTTTTCTTTTTCTAATTCTAATTTCGGACATATAAATAAATAAATTCGTCACCAATATCATTTAGGTTACACATAGTACACTTTCTATCATTTACTGGGATTCGTTGCCATCTACCTGACAGGCATAGGTTGCTTCACAAAGCAGTCGTGTTAAACTATAAGAGTTACGATAGTCGTGACGCTTCCTTTGTGAAACCGCGCTCCGAAGATAAATTCTAACCCAGATCTTCACGGTAAGTTTGACAGTTCAAACACAGATAGCTTTGTTGCAAACCACGGGACGTGTATTTTGAGAATGAGTATTCCCAAAAGGCAAAACGTCCGACAAAAACAGAAATAGTAACAATTTCGCTGTCAACTAAGATTCTAAAAACGTGAATGCATACATGTTTCTCCAACATCTGATGTATCCTTCAAACCATGATCTATAGAATTTTGTCTTGTTCTAAGTATAGTGATAGCCGGTATCGGTTCACTTTCTAAGTGCTGTGCGTTGGTTTGTTTTTGAATGTCACCAAAAACGGACAGTGAGAAAAGATCATTTAAGTGCCACCACATGTGGATCGCATTCCCAGTACATATGTTCTGTTCAATGGTAGTGAACATAAATCGGAAGACGATGGCTATCTAAAGGCTATGCTGGAGTAGAGATCATCGTAGCGCTTAGATCCCTTTGGTCCCTGGAATATAGTCTAAGAACAATTACACAAACTTACGAACATTTCGTGAACCGTCCAAAATGTACATATGACCCAACTTGTAATCAACATTGAAAATCTGACAGTTGGTCAAGTTATTTTTAACTTCTGAATAACAGTTGTAGAGGTACGAGGATTTACAAATTGTAAATTATGTGTGGATTCCTGTCACATTCACCATAAACTATAGATTTTTACTAGAGGGCCTCGCCCAAAGATATTTTTACATGCCAAAAGAATCCCCGTTAGAGACTCCGCTATTTACATCAGATTTACATCATTTAACAAGGACCCAAAAAGGAATACTATTTGGAATGTATGAACACACGTAATGAAATCAGAATCATGGGTTTTACTTCGTAACCGATTTTTATTCTATCATGAAACCTATTAACTAAA